TGAGAAGCAAAACATTTTCAAAAGAAACGCCCATGGATATTCTCAGTTATTCTCAGATATTCTCTGCCTGAATGGTGGAGAATGGGAGGATTTATATTCCTCGCAGTCATCTGGTCATTAGCATTCCCTCTGAGAGTCATTGAGGCCACCTGGAGGTTTATCTGTTCATCTGTCCAAGTGGCCTCAACGATTCTCAGAAAGAGCGCTAATGACCAGATGACTGCAAGGAATATAAATCTTTCCATCCTCCACAATTCCGGCAGAACCAAAGAAGCTTCAAGGATGAGAAGGGAAACCCCTTCAAGGAAAAACAAAAAAAGTCCAGTTGCCCCTTAAAAAAGTACCTTTGGGTTTTCTTGTAGACATTTCCTTACCCGACTAGATAACATCATCAGTGTTAGCAGTCGGGTAATTAAACACCTGCAAGAAAACTATATCTATATATATATAAGTGAAATACCACTCATGCATCATCACAAAATCTCCAGAACCGTAAAGCCTACAAACTTGAAATTTGGCATGTCTGTTCCTCTTGGCTTCTAGGTGCTCACTAAGAAAAGATTTTTCAAAATGACCATCAGAGCATTAGAATTTCCTATATTATTATTATTATTAACACGCTCTGATGCTAAGGAGTTCTACTTCCCTTCCCCACCTGAAAAGAAATCTCTTCCTAATGCAAAACACAAGCAGAGGAGAGGAGTTTCAGTTTCAGAGCACCAAGCAGCTTTAGTGCAGAACAGTTGAGCAAAGCCATGCCCAGGCTCCTTGCTGTCTCCTTGCTCATATAGCAAATACTGCTTCAGTTACCAAACAGCCCTCAACTCTCTCACACACTGACAGGACGCTAGCCAGGTGAATACCGATGGGTGCTGGTAGGCAGAGGCAGGATTTTTCCCCCCTTATTTTCCTCCCCAAAAACTAAGCCCCACCACATAGTTTTGTAGTGAAGCATGGGTATCAAGCTTATCTACATATACATATACGTGTGTGTGTGTGTGCCGTGACTTTGCTCGTCAGAAGGTCCCAAAAGGGGGATCGCAGGGACCCCCCCGGGACGCTGTGACCGCTTCACAACCATGTGTGACTAACTTAACAATACGCTTAAGTGATAAGCTTAAAAAACGTGGCAAGGAAAGTTATAAAATGGAGCGAAACTCAATTTAACAAATGTCTCACTTAGCAACTTAAATTCTGGGCTCAATTTTGGTCGTAAGTCAAGGACTACCTGTATATAAAATCTCTTTCCCACAACTAATGAGTAGAGTAGAGTAGAGTAGAGTAGGAATAGAATAGAATAGAATAGAATAGAATAGAATAGAATAGAATAGAATAGAATAGAATAGAATAGAATAGAAATTGAATAGAAATTGAAATGAATAGAATAGAATAGAACAGAACAGAACAGAATTCTTTTATTGGCCAAGTGCGATAGGACACACAAGGAATTTGTCTTGGTGCAAATACTCTCAGAGTACATAAAAAGAGAAGATACCTTCATCAAGAGTCAAGAATCATCAGGTACAACACTCAATAATAGTCATAGGATACAATAAGCAATCAAATCATACTAAGAAACAGTCAATATAAATCGTAAGGATACAAGCCACAAAGTTACAGTCATACAAGTGGGAGGGGATGGGTGATAAGGAGTGATGAGAAGATTAATAGTAATAGTAGTGCAGACTTAGTAAATAGTTGAACAGTGTTGAGGGAATTATTTGTTTAGCAGAGTGATGGCTTTGGGGAAAAAACTGTCCTTGTGTCTAGTTGTTCTGGTGTTCAGTGCTCTATAGCGTCGTTTTGAGGGAAGGAGTTGAAACAGTTTATGTCTGGGATGTGAGGGGTCCCTAGATATTTTCATGGCCCTCTTTTTGACTCAGGGTGCAGGATACAGGTCCTCCTCCATGGAAGGCAGGTTGGTAGCCATTGTTTTTTCTGCAGTCCTAATTACCCTCTGAAGTCTGTCCTGTCCTGTTGGGTTGCAGAACCAAACCAGACAGTCATAGAGGTGCAGAGGACGGACTCCATCATTCCTCTGTAGAACTGGATCAGCAGCTTCTTGGGCAGTTTGAGCTTCCTGAGTTGGCACAGAAAATATGACTGTAGTATTATTAGTTTAGGTCCAGCATTGTGTAGTATTCACTTTCTCTCTTTCCCCCCCCCCCCCCTACTTCCTAAGGTGGATCTCCATACCTGGCAACCAAAATCAACGAAGCCAAGGACCTGCTGGAATCAAGCAGGAAAAATTAAAGAGATTTTCACCGCACCTCAGAAACCTTTTAGAGGCCGCACAAGGACCTCTTACTTTCCCATTTGTAGGGGAACCACACAGCACAGAAACCAAACTTCGGGCTTGTTAATAAAGTTTCAGCAGCTTTGAAGATGCTGTTTCAGGGAGTTCATAATCAAAATCCGGGCTTCCACGCTTCAAATCTCATTTATGGCCTCGGGGGGGATATGATCCTGGAAGCGTAAACCCATGATGCACAAAAGTTAGAACTGATATTATTTTTTAATACGTCATATTCAGGTTTTGAGTTTTTCGTCAGCAAAAAGCAATGTCTTTTGTTTCCTTTGAAAAATCAGAAGCGTTGTAGATTATAATGATTCATTATCATCTTTTAATGACCTCATAATCGCTTGCAGGGTGGAATCTGGACAACTGAATGGAGCTGAGTGTTTTCATGGCCGACTGCCCTTCCTGACACCTATGAGGAGTTATATTCAGCAGATAAATATTCTCATCGTGTCCAGAGAGAGAAATATCTGCCTATACTTAGGATCGAACTCACAGCCTCCAGATTATAATGATTATGCTGTCCAATTCGAATTCCCGGTCCACTGTGAAAATTATGAAACCGATGCTTTAGACATGTGAATTTCTCTCAGAGAAGTGAGCAACTCCTCTTTTACCTAAGTTGCCTGTCTTATTTTTAGTTCAAAACTTTTTAAAGATATTTATATTCGTGAGATGTTTTTGACTACATCCATATGCTCCCGAGTGATTTTTTTTCTCTCCTGGTGGCATGTTTTTGATCTCGGTCCCGAGGTCTTAACTTGGATAAAAGGTGTCCTCCCTTCAGCGATGGGTACAGATTTGACAGGTTCAGTGAAAAGGTTTGATTGACTTTCACTAATGAGGCAGGTGTAACCGTGGGGAGGAAAAAAAAAACCCAAAAGGCTTTCCTCTGGTTTGGCAAATCTCCATGTGATCTGCCTTCTTCCCCACCTCCAGCAAAATTGCTCTAGTAAGCCATGAAAATATTTATGTTTGCTTGATTTTGCGAGATGACATGGGCTGCAAATTCCCAGTTGAATCCTTGCTCATGTTGAGGGAAACGGTGTGTCAAAAGCTGAGGTAAAAACGGAAACCTGAGGTAAAAATGGAAACCACCATATATAAAAATTGTTGCCGGTTCCAACATTCTTCCTTGTGATTTAAATGACCTTCATATATACATGTGTGTGTGTGTGTGTGTGTATTTGCCTCTTTGTTTCCAGCTGAATTTATTACGCCTCTTTTGTGCGAGGTATATTTCATTCTTCCACTTCAAGGTTGTGGAAGGACCTTGTATTTTTCAGCCCTGCTTAGTTTATAAATCAGGTCCCCATTTAAATTAGGATAAGCATTAAAGGATCTCCAGTTACTTTCCAAAGGTTGATTTAATTAGTTTTAACCTCTCACCACATGACTTGTGAGAAGGAGTCAAGTCTAAAAGCAAAAGGTGCTTTTTTGCACGAGGTTTTAAAAATAAGAAAACGCCCAAAGCAAAGCAAGGAATGGTGGCATTAGAGCGTTCACTGTCATTTTACGACAGAACGATACCTGCTTTACTAAAAGTATATTCGGTCTTTCCACTACAACTGATGACCGAGGTTGTTTGCTAACAGTCAAGGATGGGGGGGAGTGGGGGGGAAAACAAAAGGAAAATTAAATGAGTGCAAAATTTCTACTGAAATAAAAATAAGTCAGCTGAAACCGAACAAAATTTGCAATTCCTTTTAACGGCCGTCCAGCAGAGTCAAAATTCCTTTCTTTGCAGAAGGCAAAATATTAAAATTATAGCCATGGCTTAGAGTGGGAATGTTTGGAGAGGCCTCAATTATGTGACAAAGGAAACGGTTGTTTTCAATTCATGCCGTCAAGGTGACACCGTGAACTTACACTTGGGAAAGCCGCTAGTCAAGGGGGGGTGACAGATCCCCGTATTTCTGATCGCTGGACTACTCTGAAAACACAGCATTTTGACAGGCGGTGCTTACGGTGTCTTCTTGGGGGGTTTTCTGATTATGGCTATGTTGCCGTATCCGGACCTGCAACTGATGAACTGCGAAAACACTCCTAGTCACAAGCTTTGGTGTCTGGTAAAATACAGCCGAGACCTCAAAGTGTCTTCACTTGGCAAATAAGATAAAATAGTTTTATTTATTTTTTAATCAAGGCAAACGAAACAGATGGCTTGATTAAAAAAAAATATCAGTTCAGCTTCATCCAGAAATGCATGCCGTTAAAGTGTCCTTTTATGCAGTACAACTCTGTGGTTTTTGCAGATGGGATCTGGGTCTTCGTATTATTGGGAGTGGAGTTCCTTTACTAGCCATTAGTGCATTGACTCTAACAAAACATATATGTGAGCCTGGAGACATGATAGATAGGTAGGTAGGTAGGCAGGCAGGCAGGCAGATGATAGGTAGACAGAATATATGATAGTGAAATAGATGAGAGGGATAGATAAAGGTAGACAGACAGATATAGATTGATGATAGATGGATAGAATAGATACAGTTAGTTAGACATGATAGAGGGATAGAGAAATAGATGAGAGGGATAGAT